GACAATCGGAAATGAAAGGCAGTGTCCCACTCTCGCCAAAAGGAACATACATAGCTCTTCATGATAATATTTGTTTTAAAAAAAATGCCTCAGCAATTTCCTTTTTATGTTCCATCACTTTAAATCTCAAGTTTAGAATTGGAACTTAAATGAAAACTCGGCTCATCTTTGCCTTTGCAGAAGGAAAAGCAGAAATCTGACCAAACTAAAGTTCAGCATTTTTAAGTTTGCATATATTCTACCTAACCTTTATTTGTAAAGCCTCTTTCTGAGGATCGCCGCACTAAACCGATAAAAGAGCTTCTGCAATTTATACATCTCAGCTCTGCCAGACAGCAGCTCTGAAATTCAGCCAAAGCCAATGCAGGCTCAAAGTCAGGACACATTTCCCAACAGTGAAGCAAGAGGTATCACTGCCTCCCTTGGGAGACCAGGAGAGGAACAAGCCAAAGGCCCTTCAAATTAGAAAAAAGCAAACACTCATGGTTTTCCCAGCACACAGGGAATAAATAAGCTTAATCAGCTAGAGCTTATTTTCCATTTCTGTTTTAAAATATATGTATACCACTGACCAGGGATATTACAAGTTAGGAGTACCTGGTAGGATTTTAATTTAGCATTCCCAAGTCATTCTATTCTCCTATAATGTTTCACAATAAAGTCCTGTATTTCTTAGCAACATAAGACTGGTAATTATGATCAAGTATGGTTTATAGATAAAGGAATAAAGACCAAGTGACCAGGAAAAATTAGCCAATAATTAGCCCAAGGTTATAAATAAATGAGCTGCATATCCAGGAATAAGTATTTTAATTTCCTAGGTCTTAGCTCTTTTTGATAATCATTTTCTTCTAAGCCATTGAAAACTTCAAAATCCAAAAACCATAAGTTATTCTATACTGCATGACTTCTTAGAACACCTAAATTTCAAAACATTCTGTACTCTGTGACATATTAATGAGAATTTATAGCAAAGCATTAGGCATTTAATAAGGGCTATCTTACGTACATGTTAAGTTACAGTTTCAAGAAAATCAAAAGATGGTCTTAGAACCATATTTTCAGTATACTTTAACTCTACAAAATCCTTTATCAAGAACTGAATTGAACTGATTTTAAGTTTTAAATTTCATTTTTCTTCATTCTGACTTTAGTAAGTGAATCCTACTTGAAGAATCCTATCCAGTAAATAAGAGAGTCAAAGGATTAAATCCAAATGGGAATTTAACAATCTTTCCAGAACAACTCCAAGAAACAAGGTAAATAGGAAAACTTTGCATAGTTGGATTTGTTTATTTTTGTGAATGAAGGCAGCCAAAATCCTGCTGTGTTCATATCCATGAAATAACACAATTTAAGCCGTCTTGCATTTAATTCCACAGTCGGTTCCTATCTTCTATATGACCACCTCTGACTGGTTTATGGATATATAGTATTGGACATTTAAATGTATATTTTTGTCATTGTCGTTCATTTATTTTTGAAGCCTGTAAATACTAAACACCAGATGGTGCATCGGTGAACAAAACCAATAGCTGCACAACAAGCAGCATACCTCTGTCTTGGAGAGGAAAGAAAACATTTTCAGATGCAATTACTTAAGTTACATTTCTGATCAATGATTCCAAGGATAAACCATAAAGAGAATAGAAAGTATCTACCCTGTCTGGAGTTCAGAAAAGGTGTCCTTGGGAAAGTGATATTTAAGCTCAAGCCAAAAGGAAGACAAGAAATCAGACAGAAAAAAAAAAAAAAAAATGGAGGAAGGAGCATCAGTGAAAGCCCTGGGAAGCCGGCAGGGCAGTTACTGAATCATGAGAGGGCAAAAATAAAGTAAAATGGAATTAGGAGTAAATTTGGACAACCACTTTGGGACCTTAAATGCCAATTAAGAACAATGGGCAGCCAAAGAATGGCTACTGTGTACAAAATGAAAAGAAGGGAACAGACAAGGTCAGGCATGGAAAGGAAGCGTGTGGTCCACATGTTCAGGAGAGTTTTCCAGGAAGGGATTTATGAGTCTCATACAGGTGTGATGTTAACATACATGTCAAAAACTTTAACTCGCTAATTAATGAGAGAACCAGCAAGGTGTCACCACCGGCTGAAAGGAGAATTTTAAAAAAACCATGTTCATATGTAATAAAGAAAAGCTGGCATATAAATTTAGAACAGCTGCAAAATGTTGTTTATCCAAGGGCAATAATCAATGTCATTCCAACTATTTTTCACCTTTATAGCTAAGAATCGTTTGCATTATGGTCTGTTTTCTCCAACTCACAAAGTTGCACAGTGGCTCAAAGATGATGGAAGGCAGTTATCAGACACCTGAGCTAACAGTTCAGCCCACAATTCCTTTTCCTGTCTTTTGAGTCCTTCAAAAGTGTTTTTAACTAGACAACAGTGATTCAGAGAAAGGAGGTACTGAGTAAAGATGTAGCAAAATGTACTATTTTGAATATACAGAGGTACTGGAGTCAGCAAGTGTTGGTGTTTTATTGGGACTTTGGATGTGTAAGGGACCAGGAAGGAAATGTCTGTAGAAGGAATTTAAATAAAATCCTACATGGCAGAAGATGCCATCAATGTCTGTTCAGCCACCTCAGCACAAGGCCCTGAAGCTCCATAGAGAGACCCACACTGTAGGAAGAAGGCAACTCCATCAATAATTCTATTTTAAAGTCCATGACAGCAGAACAAAGGACAAGGACTAAAAAAGAAATAAAATCCATTCCCTTGAACAAGATTTTTTTTTATCTTGTGCTAGCCTCTCTATTTCTCCACGCCAGTACCCCAGCTCACCAGAGGTAAGCCATGTGGAGTCTGGGGAAATCTTCCCTCTGGAAATGCATTATGCCCTTTCCAGATCACCAGATTAGAAGCGGTCTTATTAGTGGACCTAGGACAGCTGAGAGGTAAGGGAAAAAATGTGAATAAAGCTTAGCATCACTGCCAGGAAGTTCCATCAAGTTCTATAATAGTCATTATTTCTGTGAGATATTCATTCTAAATCCATCTACATTTCCTTCCAGATGTTTGATTTCTTTCTAGAAATAATCTGGGGGAAAAAGCCAGCTCAATCTTTGCTTTCCATTTTCTGTTTATATAACTGAAACTGTTATTGAAATAACATGATCTGTTTTTTTCCATTGGACTTTGTGTCACTGAGGTCTTTGTAAAGGTGTCCATAACCCACAATAAATATTAAGACATCAAAATGTTTCTTGAGAGAATTGTACATGATTGTGATACATGTACCAAATGTGGATCATTTGGTACATGACCCAAATGATCAATAGACACTGAGAACTAGGCACAGGAAAGGAAGTCCAGGAACAACAACAGAGAGGATACTGTTCAAGCTCAAAGTGCTCAAAGTAGTTCATTCAGTTTCAAATGTTCCCCAAATGTATATCTACCAGGACTATGATGCCTTCTTTTTTATTCTAATAGATTGATTTTATGGAACAGATTTTTCCTTTTCTTTTTTTAATTATATCATTGTCATGGAGGGAATGCTGGTATACCATACTGTACATGAAATGTGGGTACATGTTCAATTCTCTTCAGATGTATACCTTGCAGACTAAGATACTTTCAAATTGAACTTCAAAATCGGTGGTAAGGCCAGTCTTCCTCAATAACCAAGTTAAGCTACTAAAAACTAAGTCTGCTTAACCTGCGCTCACTAGAAAATGCCTGCATTTCTTCACTGAAGGTTGCTACAGGTAAGCTCACACACTGAGCACTTATGAGACCAATGAGATAAAACATCACCTCTTTAAAGGATTTTTCCATTCACTAAAACCATTGTGCCAGTTCACAGTCACCTGCGGATATATACTGCCAAAGTTTAAAGTCAAATCCAAAGCATCCAGTTTTTACCTGTGCCTCTCAAACAAAGCACACTAACATTTATCAGAAAATACCTATGTCTGCTTTGGAATAAGCCTATATATGAAATTGCCAATTATGCAAGCACATCTGTATTCTTGGCCCTTCTATCAGATTTTCACATTCCTAACATTCTCAGAGGAAAGATTAAAAAAAAAATCCCTCAACTAAACATTAGGATGTGGAACAAATTTTAAACTGCTCTGGCTGCTCAAATAATCCTAAAATAGTCTTCTTTTACCTCAAAGAAATATTAGTGTTTTCCTGACCTTTGCAACCCTCGCAAATAAAAAACTTTGAAAAATAACTCAATTAAAATTTTCTTCCATACTGTGCAAAAGATCATGATGGTGTTTCTCTAAGAAATGCTTCCCATCTGGCTCTATAGTACAGTCCTATAATCCATTAACCTGAAAATTCTTCTCCCACCTCAGACTTTAGAAGATAGCATTCTACTTCAATAACCAATGGACAATTAAATAAGAACCTGAAGTTTGAAAATAGCACTGCCAATTCCTCTCTTCTGATTGCTCTCCCTCTAAAAAAAATTGATCAAAATATTGATTATGTTCCAAGTGGTTAGAAATGCTGAGAAAGAATACATCTTTGGAAGTGAAGAAGTACACAAGAAAAAAAAAAAAATACAGGTATTATTAGCCACATCTACAAATATCAAAATATCTAAAGGTTTTTTTGTACAGGGTAGAAATGCTGCCTGAATGGTAACAATCTGATTTTAACCAGGGAAAATTAAATCATTATTTTTTAAGCTACATGAACTTAAAATTTCCTAATGACAGTCATTTCTTAAAAGTAGCCAGGATTCAGAGTCAAAAGCAGCAAGCTACTGGCTTGATAACTGGAGAATATTAAGTAATAATAAAGAGCTGTTTACATTATGAATGTGTTTATACCATTAGCTGCTTATACCTGAACTTCCATTTAAAAATATTCTATGACAGAATAAAGAAAAAAATAAATGTATTGGCACACTCAGATTTTGGTTGGGTCACATTTCATGGGAAATCGCACTGCACTTCCAACCAAACTCCATCCATCAGTATGAGGTATTTGAATCATCATCAAGTTTTGGAAGTTTTCATTACCTTTGAAAATCGTGCATTTATCCATTTGGTAAACGTTTTCTTCTGCACGTCATTGTGTTCATCTGCGGAAGCAAAAGGAAACAGAAGAGGAAAGTATGAGAGTCTGTACCTTTAGTCTGAGTGCTAAATGAGATTATCTCCATCCTGGAGTTTAAAACAGTCCTATTAGCAGAGTTCATGAGCTACAATGATCCACAGCTAATGAAGAACGTGATGGCTGATGAGTCCATCTGTGGAGCTGTTAACCTGAGGCAGAGTAGCTCCGAAAGCTTCCCAGCTCACCCCAGGCCAAGGCATATTGCTGCCAGCCCTCATAGCCAGGCTTGTGGGATGAATCAGGACATTATTTTTGAATGATTATAGTAATACTTTCTGTTGCATTTTCTAAGTAAAATTTTAGCATGATTAAATTGTTATGTTCAAAAAAACTGAACGTATCTTTTAAAAACTGAGAAACTCATGATTTCCCTCCTTTTCTACAAGTCCCACATTCCAGAACAACAAAAAAAGTAGTATAAGGTTTATAGTCATTTCCACAACCCATTTTACTATAGGAAGACCGACACGGTTTTAATGCTCTAGAAAAAGGACCTACATATTTTAAAGAAATCAGAGTAGTTTTTAAAAAAAATGATCAAGTTTGGGGCCTCCCTGGTGGCACAGGTGGTTGAGTGCCGCACTGTGAAGCTCTCTGCAACCTCTGCAGCGCGGGTTCGGTCCTGGCCGGCTGGGGAGAAACCCACATGACACAGCAGACCTCTCCTGTCTTGCCCGCTGCTCCCCTCAGCAGTGTGTTTCAATCAGTCTGCCTGTTCTGTTCCCTGCTCTGTCTCTGGTGAATCCTCTCACCCCCACAGCTCTGGCCTGTACCCCAGCTCTTGTATAAATAAAAAAAAAAAATTTAAATGATCAAGTTTGGCTTAACTACATCATTTTTCCAAACCACAGTTGAAAATCTTAAAAACTAAAGATCTTGAACACGGACAGGGTAATTTACTTAACTAGACAGAGGCCATGTGTTAATACAGAAACAGGACTTTAGAACCAAGTAGAATCCCAATCAACAACTTGTGTGACCTCCTAGCCTCAAGGTTCTGATCTGTAAAATGCGAATGCATAGGACAAGCTCCCAAGGGCATACTTGGAGCCAGTGAATACAAGTGGAAAACATTTGGTAAAGAGCTGCTGTTTGGCTCTTGTTGCTGTTGTTGTGTTATTTAAGTACAACTGTAAACAAGGGAGATAAATACCCACTTTACCCTTTCTGTTACATCTAATCATATCTTCTTCAACTAGTCCCCAACTCTGTTATAACCAGCAAGGGTCATTGTTGGCTTAATGCCTATAAAACAGCATGTCAGCAATCAGAGTCATTCTGAAAGTTGCCTAAGGAGTATTTGTAACAGAACAGAAAACTGTAGCTCTACATAAACACACACACACACACACACACACACACACACACACACACCCCTGAGCACAAGTGTGAGCCTGGCCCACTATGGTCCATTCTGCCAGGCTGCCTCCCACATCAAAACAGCAAAATAGTAACAGAGGAGCCCAAATGTGCTCTGCCCTCCGTGCATCAGTTTCAACAGACTGCCTTCAACACAGACCTCCTCACCCATTGCTAATAGCATAATTAGGAGTTCACCCACGACTTTACCAAGTTTGTGCTATCTTTGGCCCTTACTCTCTTCTGGAAGGAGAGCTGGTAATTAAAAGGTCATTCCTGTAATAAATATAGCAGCAGTTCCAGAAAAGAGTGGGCTTCTACAGCACTGTAAAGGCAACTGAAAGCTGATTCTGACAAACGAATGGAGCAATTGGATGAAAAACAAAACAGCGCTCTAAGGAACTTCTTGATGTTAGTTGTGCTGAAAGGTGGCCTTTCTTCCAGAAAGGACAATGAAGTCAGCATCAGGCCCAATTTCAGGCTTTCTACCATCTGATCAATGACACATTAAGTCATTGATTAGGCAAAAAGACTTGCTTACATACTCTTGATCTTCATCCCCAAGAGGAACAGAGCTGCAATTATACTTGGAATATAAGAAGCCACACACATCAACCCGCAGAAAGCACATCAATCCCATCAATGTGAGTTTAATAAATATCAGGCTCAAAGCTTTTGAAAAATATAATTATTTGTTTCACTACCTTGCAAAAGACTTAATTATAAATTTTTCAATGTCTATCATTCTTAAATGTTATGCACAAATATATACATAAAGGTCACACAAGTGAAAGTTGCTTGATTTCATACAATTCATACAACATAAGAAGTTTTGACCATAAAAAGAGGAAAATTCTAAGAGACAAATATTACTACTGTTTATTTTTCTCTCAACCTCTTTCGAAGCATTTAACCTTATTTTCAGACATTAAAATACCTAGTACTACACTGGTTCCTCTTCAAATACAGAAAGCAAAAAAGTGAGTGTCCATCAACTTATCAAATGATGAGATATTTCAATTTTGTCACATATAGAATGAAATAAATTCTAAAAATAGATCCTCTCCATACAGAGATGCTTATAAAAATTAATAATGTTTCTATACGTCTTTGGGTCAAATCAAAATCTGAACATGAGTTTAAGTAATTGATGTGAAATAAAGCATTGACTTCTAAAAGATAAATTCTCCAATACCCAAAAATTACAAATATACTCCAAAATGCATAACCTTTCTATATTCATTTTCTTGTTAAAAAGGAGAAAAGAGTTCAGATTTCAAAAAGCCGACAGTTCACATTTCCTTTTATTACCTACACACACACACACACACACACACACACACTCTCTCTCTCTCTCTCTCTCTCTCTCTCTCTCTCTCTCTCTTATTTTCTGCCAGACAGAAATTCAGTAAAAGAATAGGAATTAGCCTGTGGCTCTCAATTATGAGATTAAAAATGTAACAAATTTGGAACACTTAACAGTATAAAGCTGCCTTCCATAAACAATTAAGGTAAACAAGTTTGACGCAAGAGTCTATTTTAGGGAGGTGAAATTATGCTAGCAAAGTGGAAGCAGAGGTACTAAATGGCTAAGTCATATTATATTGGTCAATCATTTTGCCTTCCTGGAAACTTAGACAAAATTTCAAAGTCTCAAATTCTTCATTATCAAGATGGTTCATTTAATGTCTCCCAAATGAAAATGTGCAGGCAGACAACCAAGCTTATACCGAACAAAATCATTTACACATGTATTAAAAGAGTGAGCATAATTCACACTCTTTATTCTCTCAAGTTTCCACAGAGTTTTTCTTTTTTTATATTTGGATTTTAGAAAGCCAGTTTGTTTCTGAAAGCCTTTCCTGGCTTAGCAAATCTTATCCACGAATGACCTTTCTCCATTAAGGGGACAAACCCAGGACTGAATTAGAAGAAAAATGTGTTAAGTCCCTTAAGGCTGATTTTCCAAATTCTTCTTCTAAATATTTTGCTCTTCTGAAAATGCCTTTGACATGCTCACACAGATCCGAGGACCTTCCCTGCTGCCTAACATGGAAATTTATTTCTGTGATGGGAAAGAGAAGTGAAGCAAAAAACATCAACAAATTCGCCTGAAAAACAGAATTCAGCAACAAAGCTCAGTTTAAATCCTAACCTGGAAACATGGCAGAGAAATCAGGAGTGATTTCCCCATGGGAATCAATAGCCAAGTCTTAAGAACACATTCAGCACCATAAAAAGTCTACTGTATTAGAATGAAAGCATTATCCTCTAGGACATCTTCCAAAGCAACCGAAGAGTGTGCCACTGGCAGGCCATGACCTGGGTTCCATTAAAGGTAGCTCTTCAGAAAAGAAGTCCCTGGACTTTAAGCCAAGAAATGTCTTCTTGGATGATTTAAAATTTGTGTTGACTTTATTAACGACTGTCACTAAATTTAACAGACCCTAGAAAGCCATTTTTCATTAGCTAGAAAGATAATTTCAGAAGCAACGAAAAAGCATTTCAGAACATACTCCCCTTCATTTTCTGGGTACTGTATGTGAACCCATCCCAAAATAAATCTACTAAGGTAAGGTCCCATAAAGAATTGCTTTTCTGATGCCCACTTTTGGGTCTCTGAAGAGCACCAATTCATTATTCAAACAATAAAATGTCATATGGAAACCTATAAAAAGCATATGATAATATGTAAGATATTTTAAATATTTAGACAAGGACATTGAGACAAGAGAAGACAGACTGCTCTAAAGTAGTGTAATTAAACAGCTCAAGTTTGTTTCAAAATCTGACATCCTCAGAGGACCTAGTGGTAAAAACCATAAAATTAAAAATGCACTTTTAAAAACTGTCAAAACCACCTAAATGTACAAAACCTTTTGATAATTACATTTCAAATGATGTTTTTTTAAGTTGATCGCATATACATTTTGAAGTTATGAACGCTGTATTCAAAACAGACTTTTGGGGCCTCCCTGGTGTCTGAAGGGGTTAAGTCTCAGCACTATCAAGCTATCGCCAGCTACTGCAACATGAGTTCGATCCTCAGCCAGAGAGTTGACCCACATGGCGCAGCAGATTTGCCGTTTCATCCGCTGCTCCCCTCAGCAGTGTATGTCAGTAGATCCACCTGTTCTGCTCCCCACTCTGTCTCTGGTGAATCCTCTCACCACGCCCCCCCCATGCCTCTGGTCTATACCCCAATTCTTGTATGCATAAAAAATATAAAAATAAAATCTTAAAAAAAAATAAAACAGACATTCACAATTTGTTCTATAGAAAGCAAAATTTAAGTGGATGGTCTTCTGGGGAGAAATGCAGAAGGGTGGAGGGAGGAGGAAAAGTACCCGAGTTATCCCCCAGGCAAGTGGCAGAGTCACGGACAGAGCCAGGTCTGGCCAACTCCTACGCCTGTGTCCAGGGCACTTTCAAATTACTAGAAAAGAGGAGTTGAGAGAGTTTCACAGGGGGATAGGAAGTATTTAAAACATATCTTGTTTCTAGAAGAAACAAAGCACCTGAACAGACAAAAAACAAACCTGGAGGCAGAGAACAGAAAATTCCAGAGGGGAAGAAGGTTGAAGCATAAGTGAAATGCAAGGGTAA